CTGGAGGCTGCCACCTGAGCAGCCCCCACCGAGACGGCGTTTTCCACAGAAACTCGGCGGCGACGTGGCGTGGAGCCCCTCTCCCCTGCCCGAAAAAGTTGTGCCAAGTACAGCTCCAACCGTGACAGCTTCGACACTGCTGGAACGGACGCCCTTCTCTACCTGAGGTGCTGCAAAAGCGTCGGCCCGCAACTGTCAAAATTGTCCTTCGTCATGAGGAAAAAATCACAGAATCATGGAATCGTTTAGGTTGGAAAAGACCTTTAAGATCATCAAGTCCAACCTTTAACCTAACCCTGCCATCTCGCCACTAAACCATGTCCCTAAGCACCTCATCTATCCTTTTAAGTACCTCCAGGGATGGGGACTCAACCACTTCCCTGAGCAGCCCCTTCCAATGCTTGACAGCCCTTTCTGTGAAGAAATTTTACCTAATGTCCAACCCAAACCTCCCTTGATGCAACTTGAGGCCATTTCCCCTTGTCCTATTGCCCATTACCAGGGAGAAGAGGCCGACCCCCACCTCACTACAATCTCCTTTCAGGCAGTTGTAGAGGGTGATAAGGTCTCCCCTCAGCCTCCTTTTCTCCAGGCTAAATAACACCTTTTCCTCAGGTTTGGCCACACGGGAGGTGCCATCCTGCCTCCCCACCTCGCCTCTGCTGTGCTACGCCTGCCGGAGTCCGGGAGCCTCCTCTCTGCACAACCAGCCCAGTGCTTTAATGGGGTGTACCGTGCCAGGCAACCATTGCCTGCTCTGTGCAAGGCTGCAATTAGCATTCGTCACGTCTATGATACACAACACTCAACGTACAATGCACGGTGACCCCCAGGAAATTAAAATTCTTTGGTCCTGATCGCAGCCGTAGTCCTGCTGCATTGTCAGCACCCCTGCAAACTTGCCATAAAAGACCACTTTTTTTTTTAGGACAGCCGTGTGGTTTTTTGTTCCCAATTACTTGTGTCTTCTAGCCTTAATTGTGCTGACTGCGTTGGGCAGGGTAGCATAATACTTAATTTTCATTACTCACATAAACTGGGGATGCATAAAGTAGTGTGTGAGCCACATGTAAAAATGCACATTACGTTGCCTAAGCGTAGTTGTTTTCTGTTCCTTGACACGCCGTTAACTATATATTCCAAACCAATTTTTTTTTTATTATGAACTTCTTTCTCTGCAGCTCATGAATAAATAAACCACGAAGCATACCAGACTCAAGAAAAAGGAAAACCACAGAAGGCAAAATGGAAGAACTGTACACATCTACGCGCTATTAAAAAGCAGTATGAATCTTGAGTCTAACAAAAACACTGCAATTGCAAGCCCTAAAGAAGCAAACCAAAAAAAGAGGCATTAATCTTTTATTCTAGAATGCTATTATCAATATGTATTTATTTTTAGGCTAATTCAGACCAAGGACTGAAAAGCGTGCATGACCACAGTCATGCACAACTCACTAAATTAACCATCCTCTGGTGAGGATTCCCGAAGTCTGTTCAAAGAATGATGGGGGTTTTGACATACTACTGATATTTATAAACATTGTAATGGCATTGCTAGCTTTTTGGGGAAAAAAAAAAAAAGTGGCAAAAGAATTCTCTTAATTAGCCAAATGGTAAAAATAAAGCCCTCATACTGATGACAGCCCTACTCTTCCTAGTAAAACAACATCCATTGTATCACAACTGAATGCATGCGGTATAGCTTAATAAAACGTTAAAGTTTATTCCACAGAAGAAACAAAATATACCTGCATTTATAGTAGTAGAAATGTCTAATGACTTGTGGCAAGAGAAAAGACTTCAGTGACTTTAGTGGAAATTGTATGAGACCCTAACACAAATGAAAACACCAAGAAGGGATCTCAGGATGTGGGTGTAGTTACAGCTTCTGAGATGTGCTTCTTGTTATTCATAGATTTGTGGCAGCCTGGGCTACCTGATGCTTTGACACCTCGCTTTAAAACAGCTGAAGAAAATTACTTCTTTTTTTTCTTTGTCCTTTTGTTGCCTGCTGTTGTGGCAAAGTGTGGTCCTTACCTCAGCCTGACGTTTTAGACCTGTTCTGGCAGTGTCCAGACATGTCCAGACGTGTCCAGATATTTCTCCATTGTATTTCCTCATGTGCTTTTTTTGCTTGAGAGTTGTTAACTGTCAGCCCTTAGCTGAGCCTGGAGTCAAAGAGGGTAATTTTCTGTAAAACAGTCTATGTTTCAAAAATCCAAATTTTTATAACGAGAATGAGGAGGTGGAAAAAAAAAGAAATCCAAGGAAGCAGACCCACCTTTTCCCTCTGAGGTTCTTACTCAACTCCAAATATTTAATCCATAATAAATAAACGCATCCTCAAGTCTTGGCAGGGGAGAAATGAGTGTCAGTCAAGAGACCGATGTGCTGTCCAGACGTGTGCTACGCTTGCCCGGGAGAGGGACTGATGTTTGTGGGACTGGGCGAAAAGCCCCTAATCCGTGGTTGGGAGCCAGGCTGGAGACACGCGCTCCTTCCCGGCATTTGTGAGGGTCTCCCTTCAGCCGGTTTCTGCTAGGCAAGGGGGGTGTTTGTGTGTCCTGTTGTTCCTGGGTGCGACCCTAGGCAATGTGTAGCAAGTTGAGGCACTTCAGCGAGAGCTTTCCCTCAAGAAAGCATCCAGAAGTCACCTTAAAATCTCTCTATGACTCTTTTTATTGCATGTTTCCATTTTGTGAGTCACGTAGTTGGGAGAATCCCCCAAGGTACTGATCCCTCACCTGTCCTTGCTTCCACTGGTTTCTTTGGCATGCAGTACCCGAGGACTTTAACAAAAAAATAAAATTGACAGGACCTCTAAACACGAGAGCAATACCCTGATCTAAGACCCCCTGTCTTGGCATAGAAATCGGAGCAAGGGGTCTTCCCTATTTAATGAGAAATATTAATTAACCAGATGGCAGGATCATCAACAAGCTGCCGTGAGTTCTCTGTGTGCCATTTCACAGGTACTTGGCTTACAAAAGTGTTATGAAAATTTACCATCCAGCCAAGCCAAACAAACAACCACCCCAATATTACTTTACATGCGTGTCAAAAGAAATAACTTGCCGCAGGCAAAGCGGGTGAAGGAATTTTACGAGGCTGCGTCTGATCCTCCCTCTCCCCTCCCTCAGACAGTTAAAGAAATGTTTGCATGATGAAAGGGGTAAGGGAGCAGAGGACAGCTGGTTAGGGATTAATGAAATGTTTGAGCATTATCATGCGATAATGGATTTAGCTGACTGTTTGCCAGTGTTCAGATCTAGTGTGAATTGCTTTGTATGAAACGCGGGGATTCCTAGATTATCCAGACCTCGTGAGACTGCTGCCTGCTCCTAAACCCTTGAAAGCTGTGACTTTAAAAAAAAAGGTAATTCTTCATCTGGATGGACAAAAGCCCACGGGATTGTTTTGACTTGCTTTCAGACTTAATGATGTTTGACACAGCCAACTCTTAGAGGTGTCTCCTAATGGGGAGTGGCCGTGGGTTTGGGAAGCCTGAGGCCAGACTTGAAGCAAATCTGAGTACCCAGGAGCCCACGTGAGGTCTCCCAGCCAGGACATTTGTAAACAGGACATGGAAAATGAGTCTCAACTTTTACACGTTTGGCCTGTAAAACTTATCCCCGGGGTATCTTTCTCAGAGGGCGAGATATCTGATGGGAACCCAGTGCTCTGGGCTTGAAACTGCTGTTTATCCTTCTTCCCATCCTCCCCCGGTTTATGCTGTCATTAAACTGGAACTTTAATGGCTGTCTAAAATGGCCCTTGTCCCTTGATGCTTTTTTTTTCTCCCCCCCCCGCCCCCCCCCAAAGCATTGGGATGGTTCTCGTTTCTGCCTGTCGGAGGAAGGCTGTAGACTTGCAGCAAGCCAACCAAAGATATTTTGGACGCAGACAAGTCATGGACAGCAGGCTACTGCACGTGAGTTTGTGACTGGGACCCAGGCAGGCAGATTTGCTGGTCAATTTAGGTTGCCTGTGGTAGCCGAAATTGGAATTCTGAGAGCCAAATGGCTTCAGACAGAACCTGCCAATATAGAGCATGACCCAGCCCTTTGCCCGGTGTCGTGCCCAAAGTTTACCCATCTGGAGGCAGCTGGCTCCTGTCACCCCAGAGCAATGTTGACAGTCCTAAGCAAACAGGGTGGTGTAGGGTCTCTTTGCCTGTCTCCTGGGCTGAAACCTGGAGTAAAAGCAGTAGCTATACCTTCCCACATCATCCCCGTATGGAAAATAAACGGCTCATGGTGGAGACTCAAGCTGATAGCAGTTACATTGGCAGGATGCTAATACAGGCTGCGAGACGCGGCGGCTGCTGCTGCCACTTGTGAGGTCTCATCGTGAGTTCACGCCTGGAGGAATGAGAGTTCCCTATCATTATTTTCCTGGTTTGCAGAGCTAAAAAGTGGTATTAATGGCTGCAAAATTATCCTGCCTCTTGAATTTATGTGGTCTATAATTATCTTCACAATAAAACTGCGAGGAATTAAGCTCCAGCGCGGTTTATAGTTGACAAGGGATGACTTGACAGGCCTTCAAGAACAGTAGCTTTCGGTTCTCACTTAGGCACCAAGAGCAGTTAAAATGCTGCTTGACAGCATTTGAGAACTGCAGGGCTTGTTCAGTTCAGTTCAGTCACTTCTTCCCTTGCAATGGAGAGATCAGAAACTCTCTTTTTTTTTAATGCTATTTACTCTTTCTGTTTCTCTCCACTTGGGCAATGAGCTGAGATTAGTCAGTTTTCCTTCCGAGCTGCCTCATATTAAACCATGACTATGATGTTTATGAGGTTTCCATTGCTGCACAGGGATGTTTGTACTTTGGTCTCTCTATTTTTACTCAAAGCCAAATTGAAAAAGGGATACATTTTCATCATATTGGGTTTGCAAAGAGCCAAAATCCCGAACCAAACCCTGAAGTACAGGAGGCTGTTTAAGTCTGAGATGATTTTCAACTGACTTCATTCACATTAACCTTACCCTGGTGAAAGCTGGCCAGTATTATTGCCAGTTTACACTGGTGAACACAGAAAAAAAGACCAGTTAGTTTTCTTGCTGCACAGGCTCCTGCAGCCTGCTGGAAAGCCAACTTTGCTGAAGTTTCGCCTGAGAGATCTTGGTTCTTTAATGCTTTTTCGTAACGACACGACATTTCATGGATTAAATTATAGCTGAGAGCCAGTTGGGCTAGTCCAGTGCAGAATAAAATACCGTATTATACCAAATAAAATACCGAGTCTATAGCTCTGGACACTAAAACATGACCTCTAGTTAGCTGAGCAGTTACCCCTGTCCACACCGCCTTCTTGTTTTGCAGCCTTTTAGCTACAGCTGGATTTAAACTATATGCAGGTGTTATTGGGCACGTCTGTTTTTGATCGCCCAGGTGGGACGTGAAGCCTCTGTAGCTTTCCTGGAGGACTCGCTTTCCTCTTTGCTCTGCTAAGGCCTGTTACAACCACGTGTTGTGATTTATCTCATCTCTCCCCTTGCCTAATCGGTCACACACCTAATCGGTGTTTGCAATATTCTGGGTCCCAGCATAGACAGGATTTCAAATTGTTTAGCCCTGTGTCATCAAAACTGCATCTGGAAAACCAGCAGTGTTCTCTGTATTTTTGGAAAATCCTAGGAAACAAACTCAGAAGGAGCTACACCTAAGCTAGTGACTTCGGCAGCTATGACTCAGTGTTACCCGAGATCCACGAGCAGTGGTGAAAATAGGCACTGTTGTGCTGACTGTATTCAGGGTTTTTTTACATTCCCCTGAAAACATGAGTAACACTCACCTGGATGATGGAAAAGCCAGTCGGATTGGCACTGGTTGGCAATGGGATGGAAAATTAGTATGTAAAGAACCTAGTGATTAAGATAATAAAAACAATGTTAAGAGTCTTAGGTGAAGCCAAGTTTTATAGCCCTCGAGCTTTTAATTGTGAAATTGTTGGCTCTCGGTTTGTTTCTGAAATAGAAATCTATTTAAATGACTTAAACAACCCAAGTTTCAAGAATAACCCCACACAGACTGTTGTTGTAGTTGTGACCGAGAAACTGAAATGAATCGGGTGAACACTTTTTATTCTAATTGCTTGAATTTCCAAACACAACCAAACAACTGCGGACCCCAAAGTGTTTCATGTGAAAGTAAGTTTAAACTTTGGGTTAAAAAATAACATGCATTTCCAAAGTCCAAAGCTGATTGGAGTGGAAATTAAAATCCCCAGCAAAATACTGAGAATTATTTTGGGGTTCTTTTAATTGCTTCCCTCCCCACCAAATTGGGTGAAAACTGATGAATTCACAGGTTTTAGAATTAACGCAAAATAATTGTGTTGAACAATTTTTCCTCTTTCCTAGAGCTGAATGTCGCCCCAGTCATCAATTTTCATGCAGTGTCTGATTTGGGGAAGTCCCTCTGCCTGAAGCACAGCACGGATACCGCACACTGCTGTTCCTGGGGGTCTAGTTTTGTGTCACAATTAACTTACTGCACACCGGGCCACAAATCCGCTTTTTGGACAACAGTTTCTCTTTACAGCTAAAATGATTTAAAAGCTAGTTTCTCCCAAAAGGAGAGACTTTTCATTTCCTTTTCATCCGCTGATTGTATATGCTCAGGATGATCAGTTCATCTAGCTGATTTGGTGGGAAACCCTACATAAAAAAAGGAATAGTTTTCTGCCGGATAAACCATGCACATTGCCTCATGCGATAGTCCTAAACCCTGTTTCAGTTTGCGGAGGCTGGCAGATAATGGTCAGACCCTTTCACATAATATAGTCCCTCCCAGGATTTCATAGAATCACAGAATGATTTGTGTTGGAAGGGACCTTTAAAGGTCATCTAGTCCAACCGCCCTGCCATGAGCAGGGACATCTTCAGCTAGATGTTGGGCCCCTCACTACAGGAAGGACATTGAGGGGCTGGAGTGTGTCCAGAGAAGGACAACAAAGCTGGTGAGGGGTCTGGACAACAAGGCTGATGGGGAGCGGCTGAGGGAACTGGGGTTGGTTAGTCTTGAGAAGAGGGGGCTGAGGGGAGACCTTATCGCTCCCTACAACTGCCTGACAAGAGATTGTAGTGAGGTGGGTGTTGGTCTCTTCTCCCAAGTAACAGGCAATAGGACAAGGGGAAATGGCCTCAAGTTGCATCAGGGGAGGTTTAGATTGGACATCAGGAAAAATTTCTTTACTGAAAGAGTGGTCAAGCATTGGAATGGGCTGCCTGGAGAGGTGGTGGAGTCATCATCCCTGGAGGTATTAAAAAAACATGTAGAGGTGGCACTTCGGGACATGGTTTAGTGGTAGACATGGTAGTGTTAGGTTAATGGTTGGGCTTGATCTTGGAGGTCTTTACC